AGGTTTGAGATGGGAGAGGTGTGGGAGTTGGTGTTCTATCAGGAGGGGTATTAGGAGATGGAGGGTCTGAGGAAGGGGATACTTGTGACATAAGGGATTCACGTGTGTATCCAGGAGGGAGTGGAAGGGATAGAGGGGATGGTGGGAGGGTTAATGTGGGCGGGGTTTGGGGTTGGGGTTGGGGTCGGGGGGGATGGGCTGTATTGGGAGGGGGTAGGAGGATAGGGTGTAGGGGGGATATCGTTAGGAGGAGGATGGATATCAGCAGTTACTTGGAGTGTAGAAGGAGCAGGGGTTGTAGGTTGAGTGTCAGTTTTCATTAAGTGATCTTGAATATTTTCAATAGTTTCTTCTGAGGAGTTGGTTGGGGAGTTTTGGGGGATAAAGGATTTCTTGTGAGGGGGGGAAGAGACGACTGGTGTCTCAAGAGTAGGGGCAAAGGATGGTGGAGGTGATTGTGTGGTAGGGGAAGAGGGGGTGGAACGTTTGTTCTGTCTGTTGCGGGTAGTGTGAGGAGGGAGAGGGGAAGGTGTTGGGGTTGTATTGGTGATTGGAGTATCTGTAGTAGAGATTGGAGTGTCTGGATTTAGGATGGCAAAAGAGTTTGACTGGGGAAGGTAGGAGGTAGAAGTGGGGGGGGTTAGATGTAGGAGGGGTGGGTTTAGGAGAAGTGTTAGAATGAGCAGTATTACTGGAGTAAGGAGTAAGAGAGAATCCACGTCGACGTGCTTCCTGTCTGGCTTTACGTAGTGTGAGTCCAAGTTTGAATCTGAGAGTTGCTACCTCAGATTCAAATTTGTAGGTGGGACAGCCCCTATAAAATACATTATGGGGGCCGCCACAGTTGGCACATGTGCGTGATTGTGCAGAGCAGTTAGATCGGGTATGGCCAGGTTGAGCACATAGTGGACATCTGGCTGTGGAACGGCAATGTTTGGCGGGTGTCCTAGACGCCAACAATTTTGGCACTGACGTGGAGGAGGTTGGTATGGACGAACAGGGAGGGATTCTCCTCCTATGTAGACGTTAAAGGGAAGGTCATGTCTACGGAAGGTAATTTTGGCTATGTTAGTGGGTTTCTTTCGATGACCTCTGGGGGGAATGGAGTAGCATTGTACTGATGTTGCATCATAGTCTGTGAGACAGGCCAGTAGATCTTCTCCACAATCTGACCAATCTTTGTCATAGATTGGGCAATTTGCTGGGGAGATTGAGGACTGTTCCGGTGCAAGTATTGAGTGTTGGATGGGGTTCTGCAAGGATGGGGTTACCATATAGGTCAGTTAGTTTTTGTTAATGCTATAGCTTGGTTTTCGGATGTTACTGTGACAAGACTTTACCAACTTGTTTTTGGAGGCATTGTTGGAAGAGAAGGGTGTTGTCAGAGTAGGGAGCTGTGGGAGGGATCACGAAAAATCGGTCCCATTTGGCTGCACTAAAGAGAGTATTCAAGATTGTTTTAGAGATAGGGGTGGTAGAAGGGCGAGGGCGTGACGAAGATGGAGTAGTGTTGATGGAGGTAGTGTTATGGAGAGGTGGGCTATAAGGCTGTAAGGTATTAATAAGGGAGGATGGGGTGGTTGATGTTGGAGGTTGTGGGGGTAGAGGTGTTGAAGTTGGGCATGCTGGGAGAGTGGAAATGTTCCTTGAGGGTTGATTGTTGGCTACTGTACTAGTAGGCATTGGTGAAGGGGTAGTTATTGCAGTGTTTGGAGCCGTGGTCAAAGGAGAGCCTGGGGTCGGGGAATCGGGTGGGTTTACTTCGTTGGGGCTATTTGATAAAGGGGCAAGCCTCATTGCCCCTAACAGTGGGGATATATTTTCATTACTGGCCATGGGAAGCCTGGATTATGTTGGGGATAAAAGCAGTCCACCCCTCAGGGTCCCCTTGAGGGGTAAGGGCTAGATAACTAAATCAGGGGAATACCGTGCCCATGGCTCCCTCAGGCCGTTCAGGACTGGCACAAAGTCAGCCTTTCATCCTTGCAGCACGGCTCTCACACCTTAGGAGGTGGATAGCAGAAGGATTTGGTGAAGGGACAGAAACAAAAGTGGGAAGGGAAAAAAAAGACCATGCATAATTAGTTGAGTCGAGGGCTGAGTCCCAAGGTTGGGGAGTTCCCCATCATTGGGTCCCAGTCTCCGCCTCCTAAGCCCCCCCACGACAACAACGGGCAAGGGATTGGGGGGGGGGATAGGGGTGGTAGAAGGGCGGGGGCGTGACGAAGATGGAGTAGTGTTGAGGGAGGTAGTGTTATGGAGAGGTGGGCTATAAGGCTGTAAGGTATTAATAAGGGAGGATGGGGTGGTTGATGTTAGAGGTTGTGGGGGTAGAGGTGTTGAAGTTGAGCATGCTGGGAGAGTGGAAATGTTCCTTGAGGGTTGATTGTTGGCTACTGTACTAGTAGGCATTGGTGAAAGGGGCAGTTATTGCAGTGTTCGGAGCCGTGGTCAAAGGAGAGCCTGGGGTCAGGGAATCGGGTGGGTTTACTTCGTTGGGGCTATTTGATAAAGGGGCAAGCCTCATTGCCCCTAACAGGGGGATATATTTTCATTACTGGCCATGGTAAGCCTGGATTATGTTGGGGATAAAAACAGTCCACTCCTCAGGGTACCCTTGAGGGGTAAGGGCTAGATAACTAAAATCAGGGGAATACCGTGCCCATGGCTCCCTCAGGCCGTTCAGGACTGACACAAAGTCAGCCTTTCATCCTTTCAGCACAGCTCTCACACCTTAGGAGGTGGATAGCAGAAGGGTTTTGGTGAAGGGACAGAAACAAAAGTGGGAAGGGAAAAAAAAAGACCATGCATAATTAGTTGAGTCCTAAGGTTGGGGAGTTCCCCATCATTGGGTCCCAGTCTCCGCCTCCTAAGCCCCCCCACGACAACAACGGGCAAGGGATTGGGGGGGGGGGGGAAGAAATGAGAGGAGAGACGAGAGAAAATAGACAATATTTAAGAAACGTGAAAAATGTGGAAAAGTAAAGGTAAATAAATAAAGAGGAGACAAAAAAAATGAAAGAAGAAAACAGAAAGGAATGTTTGTTTTCTTGAAAAGGACAAATATTTATGAACACATAGATCTATGTAACAGGTTATTATTTTCACAGCACAATAAAACGCGCTAGTAAAACTCTTACCAGCATACATTTATGAGATTCTAACACATTGCCTAATATAAAACTCTATCAATAAAAGGATAACAATTATGTTACTTTGTTGATTTGATTAAATACTTGTTTCTTCACTGTGCCGACAGACTACTAATTGGCGTTACAACATGAATTGGGTGAATCTGCACCAAGCCCGATTGTAGTTTTACAGAGTGGAGCATGTTTCCTGACATATGCACAGCCTGTATGTGGCGCATCACAGGCTCACTATCCTGTCGCCAGAACCCACATTCTTCACACCTGAATTCAAAGGAGCCAGGAACTCTCCCAATGCCACCTACTGAAATTCCTGAGACTGATGGCGGTGATTGCATTGACGGTTCTGAGGCTACCGTTGCTGTTGTGTTGCTGAATGTCCCTGAGCTGTTGACTGATGACACTGCTGTGTGTGTTGTGACAGTTCCATTACTTTGATGCAATTGCAGATGAGCTTCCAGCTGAGCTGCACCAGCAAGACAGGCACCACATTCACTGCAAGCATATGCAGGAGCAACACGGGAGGGTTCCTCTGAAACAACTGCAGGAGAATTTATGGCTATGGTTATTGTCCCATCCACAGCCACTTCCAAGGTATGCACTGTTGGTGATTGCCCAAGTCTTGACACAGTTAAGCGAATATCTGTGGATTGTTGAGGGAGATGGACAGCCACATGAGGAATAAGGGTCCCTAACCTCTCGGCTCTCTCCCCGCAAGAAACACACTCAGCAGTAATTGCACCATGGGTGAGTAAATGGTCATCTAAGTTGGTGCTGAAGAAGACACTGCTCCACATATCCAACAAACAAGAGGACCACTTACAGTTGCTCTACTGTTTCCATTTACTGGATGGTGAGTTGCCATGTGAGCAGTTACTTGTTGTTGACTACAAGAAGCATGACAACAAACACCACACATATACTGTTTGTCTTTGATTCTGTGCCGAATGAGTTCAGCTTTTGATAGAAAAACTTCACTACAAGCCTCACATGAATGCCGTTGTTCCCGCAAAAGGGGGTCTTGTTGACCTTTTCTACCTTTTGGACCTCTGGATCCCTTTTTCCCTGATTCTAGAGTCTCTAATACATGTATAAAGTTTGCATTATTTGTATCATGGACATTCTGCAGATGATATAAAATATAACTTTTGGAAGTTGCTTTGTAACCACACAAAATGCAATCAAAAGTCTGGGGGTTCACCTTACTCTGCTTTATATCTGGGTTGCTTGTATTATTTGGAGTAATCAGACACTGTACATCAGATCTGGTGTTGTTAGTTTTATACAAAATTGTTCCTCCACCTAGATTTACGGTTTCTATCATATAAGAATCTGGATGCTTCCTCTGAATATGAAGTTCTAAATTCATAGGGTCTACAAATTTATGTCCACAATCTCCACATATATTCCACTTGCTATTTGAAGTTAATCTGTCTGTTTTATTGTTCTTTAATCCCTTGGCTACATTATCAACTACTCCTAGAGGTGACATGTTTGGCAATGGAGACTGTGAGGGGGTAGGAGGTGGTTGCATATTGGTGTGAGAGGTTTGAAAAATGGTACCGGGTGGTAGCTGTGGAGTGTGTAGAACAGAAGTCATATTGGAGTGTGTGTGTGCCATGGGTGGAGGTGCTGGTGGTGGTGGTGGTGGTGGTAGGTGTGGAGGTGGTGGAGGTTGAGGTTGCTGACTGTACGTCTGTACCTGCTGAAGAGGATCATGGTAATAAACAACTGTAGTTCCTTGTGGCTGCTGTAAGACTGCTCTGTCTGAAACAATAAGCCGTTCTTCACCGTTATTCAACCGATTGTTATGTTGCAAATAGGATGCCATATGCTGCCTCTGATGCTCTACTAAATTCCCCTTATCTTGAACCATCTATCACACTCTGCACAGGAGAATCCCCCATTTTTGGCCACTTCAACCCATAACTGCTGCTGACTGTTGTGCTGCCTTTCAAGGTGTAGTTCCACATTCACCTTGTCACAGAATTTGGCACCACACACATTACACTGATATGGTTTGTGGAGTAATACTTGTTTGTTTCTTCTATCTGAGAGCTCCTGGCCAGTGGAGCTCTTCTTCTTCTTTGATTTCTTGGCCATCCTCTGGGCTAATTTTCTACATAATGCTCCTCGCTTGTGTTTGGTGAAGTGTGATGCCTCCTTGAAATTTCGACCACACACTTCGCACGTGTAGGAATCGGGAAGCTGCTTGTCCTTAGACACCTGTTCTAATACCTGCAAAAGAATATGTCTAATTAAAAGAAAAAAAATATGTTTACCAAAATTTATACAAAATACCAAATTTTCCCTGCATATGTGTGTATGTGTGTGTGTATGTATGTGTGTGTGTGTGTGTGTGTGTGTGTGTGTGTGTGTGTGTGTGTGTGTGTGTGGGTGTGTGTGTGTGTGTGTGTGTAGGTGTGTGTGTGGTAGGGTAGGTGTGTGGTGTGTAGTTTGTGTGTAGGTGTAGGTGTGTAGGTTGTAGGTTGTGGTAGGGTGTATGTGTGTAGGTCGGAGGGTGTGTGGGTAGGTGCGGTATTTATATGTATATATTTAGATATTTATAATTATATAATATATATATAGATATATAATATAGATATAATATATATAGATATATATATATATGAGATTTATATATGATATGTATATATATTTAATAAGATATTATGATAGAAGATAGAGAGATAAGCTAGATATATTATTCTATAGAGAATGATATATATATTAGATATATATTATATTATATCGTATATTATATATATATAAGGAGAGATATATAATATATACATACAGTATTATATAGTGTTTTACGTATAGATAATATATAAAATATAATATATAGTATTTATAGAATAATATTATATAGCATAGGATAAGATAATATATATATATATATATTATATATATATATATATGTATTATATATATATAAGTATATTATATCATATGTATATATATATTATTATTATATTATATTATTATGATAGTATCTTATTAATATATATAGAGTATATATATATGATATTATAATCTATAGATTATATATATAATATAATATATAGATATATATATTATATATATAGATATATATACACAAATCATGTCATAGACACACACGTAGTAGATACACACATCTATGTATATACACACATCTATGTATATACAAACATCTAGGATATACACACATCGATGTCTATACACACTCTATGTATATACACACATCTATGTAATAACACATCTATGGATTATACCACACATCTATGTATATACACACACTATGGGGGGGGTATATACACACATCTATGATATATACACACATCTATGTAGATACACACATCTATGTAATACACACATCTATGTATATACACAATCTATGTATATACACACATCTATGATATACACACATCTATGTATATGACACACATCTATGTATATAACACATCTAGGGCTCTACACACATCTATGTATATAAAACATCTATGTATATAAACAAATCTAGTATATACACACATCTATGTATATACACACATCTATGTATATACACACAATCTATGTATATACACACATCTATGTAGATTACACACATCTATTTATATACACACATCTATGTAGATACACACATATGTATTACCACATATCTATGTATATACATATCTATGTATATAGATATATATATATATATTATGGAGAGGTATAGAGAGATATATAATTAGATAGATAGAGATATATATATATATAGATAAGAGAGATAGATAGTATATATATGTATATAAAGAAATAAACACCTAATATATATATATATATATATATATAGATATATATATATATATATATTAGATATATTATATATATGTAGATATATGTATATAGATATAATATATATATATATATATATATATATACTATATATATATTATATGATATCTGATAAAATATATATATATATGTATATATATATATATATATATGGAATATATACATATATAGTATGTAGATATATATATATATGTATATATATATATATATATTATATTATGTATATATATCTATATGTATAATATATATATATATATATAGTATATATATATATAATATATAGATAGTATATATATATATATATATATGGTATATTTATATATATATATATATATATATTATATATATATATATATAGATATATTATATATATATATATATATTATATGCAGTATATATATATATTGCATGTATATATATATATGTCATGTAATATATATAAGATGCATGTATATATATATATGCAGATATATATATATGCATGTATATATATATATGCATGTATATATATATGCATGTATATATAGATGTATGTATATATAGATCTATATGTATGTAATAATATAGTATGTATTGTATATATATATTATATATATATATATATATATATATATATATATATATATATATAACTATGTATGTATATAGTACATGTTATGATATTATACATGTATATGTATATATACATGTATATGTATATATACATGTATCTGTATTATACATGTATATGTATATATAAATGTATATGTATATATACCATTATATGTATATATAAATGTATATGTTATATATACATGTATATGTATAATATACATGATATGTATATATACATGTATATGTATATTATAAATTTATATGTATATATACATGTATATGTATATATACATGTATATTTATATATACATGTATATGTATTATATACAATGTATATGTATATATACAGTATATGCATCATATAATGTATATTATATATACATGTATATGTATACATGTTATATACATATATACAGTATTATATGTGTGTTGTGTGTGTGTGTGTGAATATTTTCAAATCCACTACAGTGCTATTCACTAGAAAAAATGAGGTAGAACAAAGAAGACTTTGTGATTATCAAGGGGGGTGAAGGCCCTAAAATGGGAATGGGGGTTATAGGGGTGTGTTAATTAAAACAGTATCAATATGACAAGCAAGCCATTACACTCATTTGCATCAAAAATGTGCCAGTAATTTTCATGATAAGTTTGGCAAGGCTGGAGGGCATTTGTGCATGGGATATTGTCTGGGTTACAGCCAGGCTCCCAAGGCTGTTATGCTGTAATTGGATATTACCTGGCATTTCTGAAATGTTCACCATGGCAGGTACAAGTTATCAACAGGAATCAATTAAGGTGGTGGCAAGAGGAGAGCAAGTTAGGCCGCACCAAAGGTGGTCTGCAAAATAACCTTGGGAGATGAGGAAGAGGAAGAGAGTGAAGGCTGTCAAATCCTGAGAAGGTGAGACAGCAGTAGTGGTGAAAGGGTGCTGAACAACTGGGGCAAGTACACAGAAATAATGAGAATAGACAACTAGGAAGGTTCTTGGTGTGACTCTGATCAGACAAGGAAGACAAGGAGGACTTGGTGGAAGAGAGGGCAATGCATGCTTTTTAGCTGTGTGCTGTGATACATTACTAGTGTCTTGAATGTGTATGCACATATGTATTCTAAATAGATATACTCAATACCCTGCAGGACTTCAGGCGATGATGTTCCTGCAGATCTAGTGAGAGGCTGGTGGGATGTGTGATGGCTGAGAGACAGTACTGCTACCATAGAATAATCGGACAAGCTCGTATGGTTCACACGACTTCAAACCTGTAGGCCAGAGTAGAAAAAGGAAATAGAAAAAAAATTAATTAAGCCATTACACACACACAAACTCTGTGAAATGCTAACTACTTTTAAATTTATTTCAAACTACATTATCTATATCAGAATATAGACCAATACTATCTGATTATAATCTGCTAACCATAATTATTACTAGATATCGACTTTCCTACCGCAGTGATAGCTGCAGGGTTCATTCTAGGGTTCAAAGATGCAAATCTCTCTTCTGGATGAATTCCTTGGACATTAGCATGCCTCTTGGATGCTGCTGCCATCTGGAGGAAAACTGGACAAAATATATTAAAATTCACTAGGATGCCATGACTGATTGTCACAGGAATTACACAGCTTCTTTTACCTTTGAAAATGCTGGACAATAGTAGCACAGCAATGTAGTAAACTATAGTTGCTATTACTCCACTTCAATTTGCACAAAAAATCTACATTAACCTCTTGAATCCAAGTGATGGGAGAGTCTCATTATTTTAAAATTTGGCTGGTATGGCAGGTAATGGGAATATGTCTTCATGGAAAATTGGCAAGGTGACATTAGCATTCATTGCAAGATTTTGTTGTGAATGGAGGGCGATGGAATGTCTTGGCATGAATGTACAAAGCCCCAGAGGGAGGATAGTCTAAGTGCGACATTTAGAAAAGGCTCCTAACTTATTCCACTGGTAAATAAGGTTGGAATCGTATCATGTGTTAACCCAAACAGGAGAGTACTAGCTCCAGTACGTACTCTATTACCATGACAAAGGAAAACCTATTCTTGCAAGTCTGATAGCATAGAAAAGGAGGCAAGGGGGGAAGGGGGGGGTTTCCTGAAAACTGAGCTGGAGTGGCATGTGTTCACCGGGGAGAGTCACACTCAATTAAGCCTAAAGTCTGTTCCGGACATGCGAGCCACAAGGCACCAAGATCAAATAGGTTAAGGACCTGAAAGGATTGCAAATTTTTTACACTCCTGTGAGAATATTATACATTTACATATATGCATAGTATACCTGGTCTTTTAGGGTTAAAAACTATTGGTACAGTTACTTAGCATCATAGTTGCACACCATAAGAAGCATCCAAATTCTTGAAAATACACTTACGAAGATTTTCACTACACAAATATCTAGATAATAACTTCATAACATACATTGTGTGGTCTGAGGTTTTATAGAACAAAGAATCTGATAAACAAATTGTATACCGAACATGGTTTATAAGAATAGGCCTATGAATCGTAGATCTTTACCCTGGCCCACACCACAGACTTTCCAGAGTATATATAGGTTTAATTCAGAAATGTAGTGCTAAACTTTCTTTTAGAAGCTAAACCCCTTAGCTCCAGGTGACAGTCCATCATGTTATGAATACATTTGGCTTGAGGCGCTCCTAAACGACATAAAACATAGCCATCATGAAAAAATTTAACTGAAGGCTGGGGTGACAGGAACATGTAATCAAGAGAATTTCAGATGACGGCTGGAATGACAGGATGACAGGAATGACTCATAAAGAGTGCACAAAGCTTTGGAATAGTAATCAAAACTTCGGTGGCCATTAAGGAAGGAGACACTACATTATGCCATGTGGTAAATGAGTGTGGAAAGTCCCCTCCATAAGCCATAGCCGAAAGATCACGCTTCGGGGACGACACGATTTCTGAGCTCAGATCCTATTCCTGCCAATGGGACGGCAGTGTGGGCTGTATTACTGAACATTGAATATAAGGAAAACATAAAAAAGTAACATAAGTAACAAATGTTACTCATTATTATTAGTTAGTAGACTACCTTGAGTCTGTCAAGGAAAAAACATTCTATACCATATGACAGAGCAAATCAAAAGACAAATTATGGACATTGGAAAAAGCTTATCAGAAAAATACAAAATAAGATTGCAAAGAGGGGAAGGAAGTCTTGACAACAATTACAAGCTACACACCAAGGGAAAGTCACTAATAAATTAGTCAATGTCTGGATTTGGGCATGTGCAGGCAGTGAAACACCGATCCAATGGGTTAATTCCTTATAAACATTCCACCAGAAGACAACAAACAGACTGTAATCATAAATATTCAGGAAAAATTTACTTCAAATACGACAAAAGTGAAACACCTCGTCAAGGTTTAATCATGTCTATGAAAATCTTCTGGCTTTGCATATTTCAATTATATTCATAACTTGACCCTTCATAACAGGAGCAATCAGGGCCATACTGAACATGAAAAGGTGTTTGTGAAGAAGCTGCTCTAAGGAAAAATTTGAAGCACAGGAAGCATAAAGTTAACCCACTCCCATGCTTTTGGCTGTGGCATAAACAAATTTTTGATGTAATGAAACTAAAAAATGTTTGAAGGGCTATTTCTCCTTAACCCATTCGCGCAGGTAAAAATGAAAAAGAAATGGGGAAAGAGAAAATGCTATGCTCATTTTTTATATTTTTCATGAAATGTCTCTACACCTAGATGGCTCTGCCTTACCTGATTTCACCTTACTTGACATTGGCGGGAAAATGTATTTTTACTAGCGCTATGAATAATGATGGTTAGTTTATTGTAAACATTAAATTACTATAAATTGGTATAAAACATTAGTAGAGCAAAATAAGATAAGTAAGGATATTTTCGGGTAAATTAAAGAAAAGGGTAAACAGGCGAGACAGCAGTACAAGTACAAGTGTAGCCATCTATGAGTGAAAACAATAAACAAGAAACTCACAGGGGCATTCACTGCACGAATCGGTAAGGAATACAGGCAGGAGCATAATGCAGCAGATGATTGGTCTATCATGAACGATAGGATGTCCTCCAGGTGTAAATGGGTTAAAATACGCATAACACCTTTCTTTTTAAATTAAGAAAATAGAAGTGAGTATATTGTAACTATTATTATTAGAAACAGCCACTTCAAAACATGTTCAATAGTCAAGTCATTAGAAGATCCTAGACCAGCAAAGAAGTAGTGAGGCTTTGTTTCTAACAACATTCTAGCTGATGAAACTGATAAAAATTCCATGTTAAATTATTGTAACAAATGATCCTGTAGACATTCCCGGATAATCTATTGCCAAATAAGAAATACAAGTATGTGGTGGCTATTTAATACAGCCACAAGAAGTTTCATATTGATTGGAATGAATACAGCCAACATATTTATGAGAAAAAAAGGAGATTCCTTCAAAATCACTGTGGTTTTCTGGTATATCTGTTAATTACATGCCCATATCATCTTTTGCCTCCCTTTATAAAACCATCTTAATAAACTCTGGATGAATACATAAATAAAAATACATACATACATACATATGTAATATATACTCTACATAAATACATATGTAAAATATATCATACATATCTTAACACAACACAACACACACACACACAATTTTAGAGCTTTTATCTCTATGAATATAATTTACCCATATGTTGTATTCCTGATGATCTGCAATCACTGATTCCTAACCTGATGATCAAACAAAGACTGTCAGAAAATAGTAAATTTCTTTTGACTCATGTCTTCCAATGTGGATAAAAACGAAAGAAATAAAAGAATCCTGTGTATGATGCCAGACTCTGAAAAATCCTCAAACAAAATTTTAATGAATCTTTTAAAACTGGCTGCAATTGTATGAAGGACGGGGGGGAGTGGGGGAATGGCTGACCAATGTCACTGGGAAAACTGCTGGGATTTTTTTTTTTGGGTATGTGTGTGTTGTGTGTGTGTGATGGTGTTATTTTGTTACAGGGACATTACTCATGTATGAAATTTGATGAGCAAACACCTTGTTCATCAACTCAGCAGCAAAAACAATAAGTCTTGTGAACAATAGCTACCCTGGAGCCCAGGGCCTCTCGTCTCGCTTGACATTACTGCTTTCCTGAGTTTCCTAAAGGTAATTTGAAACTAAAGTAAAAAATGTTATTACAGATACCTTTGCACTTCTATACTTTGCCTGCACCTTGAGTGCTCATTTTTGTAGTGACACGATACTACAGTAGGTGTAGTAGGCACCCTACCTCACACCTGCAAAATCTAACTACACTAAGTATTCAGCCCTGTGGGCTTGACCCCTGGTAGGGACAGCCCAGAAGTTGGGGGCATCTTTGGGCGCACTTTTCTTTTATTCTGAATGCAAGTTCGACGGTAAGGACGTGTCTTCCACATAATTGATCCCTCTGTGTTACTGGAGAACGTAACCAGGTTTCACTGGGGGGGGGGGGTGGGGTGGGGTAGAAGAAAGAAAACTGCCTTACTCTCTTAGATATGCTGTTATGGTTGAACAAAAGGTGAGAGTTTTTCATCCCATCAGGATTACGGATTAGGCCTAGGGGTCGGACCAGGTCAGATACCCAGGATGGATGTACCCTGGCTACCCTTCTCCTCCTTTTTTTTCTTTTAGAAGGAAGAGGGGTGACTCAAACACTCTGTGGACTAATTTGACTACGAACAACGGAACCCTACTAATAAACTAAAAACCTAGAAGACCTCT